CGAGATGAGCCCTTGCCAGCTCATCGCTAGCTGGGAGCAGGCTCTTTCCAAGCAAGGGCCTGGGGCCAGGGCTGGGCTGAGGGCAGGGGAGGCCAAGGGCTCTGGAGGATGAGGGCAGGGAGGCCAGCAGTGGGGTAGAGCCCAGCGTGTCTGAGGTGCCCTTCTCCTAGATCCGCATGTCAGACCAGAACAGCACCGATGATGGGGAGTCAGACCCCCAGCACAGCCTGTCTATGGTCTTCCTCCTCGTGCTGGTCTTCTTCATCATGGGGCTGGTGGGTTTCCTGATCTGCCATGTCCTGAAGAAGAAGGGCTATCGGTGCCGGACGTTCCGCGATGAGCTCGACCCAGATAACAAGGACGTGCTGACGGAGCTCCAGGCCAGTGAGTACCACGAGACGAGGCCGCGGCAGCGAGCGGGGAGCGCCCTGCTGCCCCGGTGCTCCTCAAATGGGGGTCCTGGAAGTGACCCAAAGGAGGGAAGGGTTATCCCTCGTGGTCAGTGGGTTGGGGAAGGAATGAAATGGTGGGAGCAGCACTATGCAGCCTCCACAAGTGGGAAGGTTGCATGGAGCCGGCGGGATGGGAAGGGCAGAACTGCTGCCTGTGCAGTGTGCCCGGCCCCAGCTGGGTGCCCTTGGCCCCACGTGGCGGAATTGGACTTTGCATGGTCTGGGGGGCTCCTTTATCTGATTTCCCAAAGGTCTCTGTGACCCACTCACAGGAAATGAATGCCAGCCCCAATGATTTATCATTTCATCCCGTTTCGCTTTTTGGCTGCCGTTCCCCCCACTGCTGTTTTTCCCTTGTTTTTCCCTTTTGGTGGCCACACTGTGTCATGCCCAGATGTACGAGAGCTAATGGGATAGAAGGATGGGGCAGACTGGTAGCTGAACCCCAGCCCCAAGAGGAAGGGAGCCCCTTAGACTCTCCTTTATCTGATTTCCCAAAGGTCTCCGTGACCCATTCAGAGCAAATGAATGCCAGCCCCAATGATTTACCATTTCATCCCATTTTGCTTTTTGGCTGCCGTTCCCCCCACTGATGTTTTTTGCTTGTTTTTCCCTTTTGGTGGCCAAACTGTGTCATGCCCAGACGTACGAGAGCTAATGGGGTGGAAGGATGGGGCAGACTCTTGGTAGCTGAACCCCAGCCCGAAGAGGGAGGGAGCCCCTTAGACCGTGCTCAGCCTCCACCACCAGTTTTAGGCTGGTCCAGCCCCTAGGATAGTGTTTGGGTCAGCATCACTGTACGTTTGCCTTGTCCTCCTTCTCTAGGCCTTGGTGCTTGGGCACTGTTAAAAGAGGTTCGTGGTGGGGAGACCTTTGGCCCAGAACCTCTGATGAATCTTGAGCATCTGAGTTATAGGCCTGAGTTATAACCATGAGCCCTAAAAGCAAAAATTGTCAAGACACAAGCTGTCCCTCCATCCCTTTTGTGTGATGAGATCCAGTAACAGGCTCTTGGGTGCTTCCGCTCCTGTGCTCTTCCAGTTCTGCTGTGTTTCTTGTAGGGACTTTCTGGGCTGAAGAGGGGCCTTTTCTTGGGATCTGTGCCCCCTCCTGGAACCCCTTCCAAGGGGTTCTGGGTCACCTGAGGCCACCACAAGTGGCTCTCTGGGAGTGGGGTTTGGAATTCAGGGCAGCATTGAGCGCGAGTGCAAGCCACCGCATGGTCCTAGCAAGGTTTGTCATTTGCTGATTTGCTTAGTCTCTGATGCAGTGGAGATGATGTATTTCTCGGCCTGTTTACTTAATTAAAAGCGGCCAAGTAGTGTTGCAAAGCTCCACTGTCTCTTCTGTCCCATCTTAGGGCTTAGGAGAGTTAGCTTCTCATGCTGGGACTTAACGGGGCCTGGGAGGCAAATGTGGAATGGAAGCAGTGAGGAGCTTCCAGGCAGACTTTGCTGCAGTCCTCCAGATTGAGTAACTTGGCATTACACGGAGACAATATTGAAGCCTTCCAGATTTGGATTTCTCCACTGGAGACTCCACAGCCCCGGGGAATTGTCCCTGGGGACACCAGAAGGGCAGCGGCAGGATTGTGCTCTCCAGGGAGGATCCCTGCCAGACTGGGCTCTGACCTACCTATGTGAACATATGTCCAGCATCACAAGCTGGGCTGAAAGTCCATCTAGCCAAGTCTCCTGCCTCCAGAAGTGTCCAAAAACATGTGCCCAGGGATACAAGAACAGAGCAGACGTTTACTGATACTCCCTCAGAGTACTCCTGATTCTCTAACACTGTGTAGCTCTGTGACTTCCTCTGTCAGAAAAGTTTCCATTTATTGAAGTCCCAGTGGATTTCTTTTCCACAAACATATCCCATTTACCCTTGGACACAGCTAAGCTCTTTACACCCACAAGATCCTGCAGCAAGAAGTTCCACAGCTGAGCTGTGCCCTTCAAGAACCACCTCTTTCTACTTGTTTCAAACCTGCTACCTATTCGTTTCATTTAATGTTTCTGAGCTCTGGTAGAGGAGGAAAAAGATAGTTCTCTGCTCTGTGGGCCCTTGGCTGTCCTTTAGGCATTTCTTTTCCAGGGTCAGAGCTCCAGTGTAGCTCAGATGCTCTCTGGGAAGGATGGGGAGAGCAGGACTTCTCTGACCAATTTATCTGCAGACCCAGGGTGTTCATAGTTGTTCTGTGGGAGGGAATGGTGAGATAGTGAATCCCAGCCCTCAGTGCCGTGTTTTCTGCTTTCAGATGATGAGGAGGAGCTGAATGAGGACACCGTGGAGAAGATTGTGAGATGCATCATCCAAAATGAAGGCGAGCATGTTATAGGGCTTGCTTGGACTCTTCCTGGCAGCTGACTGCTGTGGCTGACATATTCCCTTTCTCCCCTCTCTTCAGCAAACGTGGAGGCCCTCAAGGAGATGCTGGGGGACAATGATGGGGATGTCCCAGTGCCAGTGCCCAGGTGAGGGAAGTGCCAGGCTGTGTCTCTTGCAGAGTGAGGGAGAAGCAGTCTTTGGTACCACCTTGGTCTTGAGACTTCAGCAGCCCCTTCTCAATGGTTTGTTATGAAGCATCTTCCTAACAAGGAGTCATAATTCCACTCTATTTCTGTGCTTTGCTCCAATGTTCATTGTAACATCCCTCACTCCTGTCCTAACAAGAGGTCTCCAACGGAGCTGCTGCTTCTCAGGGCTTGCTGCACTGAGGCTGCACCAAGGTAAGGCTCCTCCAGGTGACGTGACATCTGTGTCCTTTTCCTGTTGCAGCCTTTGTCCCCACCGTAACAGCCAAGATGGGGGACCACCACATCACCACACAGTGCACCTGGGCTCCACGCAGGCCCCCTGCATCCACTGTAGCAAGAGGAAGAAGCCCCCTCTGCATCGACAAGGGAGGTCCAAAGATGGCAAAGGCAGGATGCATCCTGGAGAGACCACTGTCTTCTCAGTGGGCAGGTACTTAAATGAGCCTTGCCAGACATCCCTCTGGCTGAGCAAGTGTAACAGAGGGTCTTCCCTGTCCCCTCAAGGGACTTCAGGAGCTATCTGTGGTCTTCATGTAGCTAGTAGCCTTCAATACAATTTTCTTCCACAATTTTGCCCAGTTTGCCTCTTCCCCCAGCATAAACATTTAGACACACATAAACATTTCGCAGAACGTCCTTTAGCAAGATATCAGCTTCCTACTGCCATGGTGATGATAGAGTGACAAGGAACTGCTAATTCCTGGTGGCTGCCCAAACAAGGCGCAAATCTGCTGTGCCCATGTCACGGTTCAGAGGAACAGCCTTTTCACAGTAATATTGAGCCATAGTAATATTGCTTCCACTATTAGAACTAAGAGTCAGAAGATAGCTGAACTGGGAGAACTGTGGGGATCTGTTAAAGGGAACGGACCTGCAGGGTCTCGCCATGCTGAACTCCAGCTGAAATTGTGTTTTCCTGGAGACTGACAGTTTCTGCCTCTTTTGCCTGCTGTTGTCAGTGCTCTTCACTTTAAGGTTTGATGTTTGGTAAGCCACATCTCTGCGCACTTGCTTATTCATGGTTAATCTAATTCTCTGGCTGATGCCCAGTTCCCTCTGCTGCTCTGTGTCCTTCATCCATGCTCTTCTCTGTCTCCTTTCAGTCACGTCTGAGTGCCTGGAGAAGACAATCTCCTCTCCTAAACCACCTCTCACATCTTAATTTTCACTCTTTTTGCATATTAAGATCCTATGGCACATCAGCCTTCTCCACAGGATAGCTGTTATGTTTCTCCAAGGTTATATTTTGAGTGCTCCTGCTTGCTGAATCTCTCTTCTTTGAAGTCTGGCTCCTATGGGACCTGTGTGTCCACCAAGTACAAAATTATCTTCAGATTCGGATTCCTGTTTCCAAGTTGACCCCATGTTTTTTCTGATCTTCAATAATTTTTCGGGGAGTGCCTTACTCTTCCTAATTTCCTACAAATACCCTGATTACATGAACTGCCTTGATTTATGACTGATCCTGTATACAAAACTCCTTTAACCATTTTCTTCTGTCTCCAGTCTTATTCCTCTTGGTTTTAGCTTTCAATTTTGTCTTGGCTATACCAGTTGAGAGTCCAGTCCCTTTCCTATTACGTACAGCTCCGTGACGAAGTCTGGTCCCCAGCTGGTAGTCACTAGCTCATAACTGAGGGAACCTCATGTAGAATGGAGGGAATTCAGTGGAGGAACACCAGAACAGCCAGGATACTGGAGTACCTGATGTGTGAGGAGCTTCAGAAGGAACAGGGTTTGTTTACTGTGCAGAAGAGAAGACCAAGGGAGTTGATAATTTCTTTCTACGGCTGCTTGAAGAGTTGGGGGAAGATCATAAGGAAGACTCTTCTCAGAGATGCAGAGTGCAAGGACAAGAGTTAATGACCACAAGAGAAATATAGATAAGACATTAATGATTTCAGCCTGAGAGAGGTGCAGACCTGGGGACAAAGCCCAGAGGAGAGGAGAGATTTATGCCTTTGGAGATGTCTAAAACCAAACTGAAGAATCAATCTGACTGAGTTTTGAAGCTGGCCCAGCTTTGCACGCAGGCTTGGACTGGAGGCCTTCTGAGGCCCGTCCTAATCTAAGTTATTGTATAATTCTAAGACAATTAGAGTTACATCATCTATGGCCTCTAATTATTGAATAATTTACTAATTATTGAGTAATTTACTATCTTAGGGCTTTCCCTATAACCTTCCAATGCTTTTGTCTTTGCAATCTCTACAATGCTATTGAACAGACAAGGAGTCTTCCACCACCTTGCACCATTCCTGCCTGCAGACAACCCCAGCGCTGCTCCTGCCGCTGTGCTGTCTGCTCTGTTAGTTACGTAGCTCAGCCACTAAGGCATCTGCATCTGATGGAGGTCTTGTCCTGAGCTGTATCAGCCAGTATGTCATGTCCTATTGAATCAAAAACCTTAGCGATACTGACTAGGCAGATGGCCAAAACTCTCCTGCCTTTGTCATTGTGATCTTGAGGTTGGTTACTTTGTCATGCACCCCTTCCAGCCTGAATCCTCCCTGCTCCTTTGAATCCTTTCCTGGATCTCTCAGGCTGGCATTACCAAGAAATAATGCTGTCAGTTGCATCTCTTTCCAGTCTCTCTTTGCAATTAGAACATTCTTTAATCTTCTCAAATCACAGTGCTATTCCCTAAAAGGTCTCATTTCTTGATGCTTGGCCTGAACCAAGCAGTCCTCTGGGTACTTCATCCAGAGATGGAGCAGTTTTCTCTTTGACTTTTCTAATTATGAGTAGCATTTCTGATTGCAATGCTGAGGAGTGTGTGTTGTCTACTCTGGCAATAATATTTAAAGGTTTTGGCCACCCACTGTTCTGGCCATCTGCTTAGGACCTGCACTTCCTGTTTATGATTTAGTGATTCAAACTTGGAGGGTTTAAGAATATCTGCCAGTGACCAAGTAACCTGAACCTCTTTCTGAAGTCACATTCCTTGTTGCTGTCCTCTTGCTGACCCATCCTCTTGTTCCTCTTTATTTGTTCTACTTCTGAGTTTGTTTATGTTGCCCAGTGCTGTCTGGTGGTGATTTCCTTCACTCAGCAATCTCTAGCAGCTCCTCAGGGATCTGTTCTTGCTTGGGCTTTATTCTCAGTCCCCTTCTTCATCAGTCATATTATCGTTCACTTAACATTTGGATCTTGCTCTTTCAACCCCAGCAGTGCTTGAAAATTGCTGATAAAGCAGTATTTTGCCCAGACATTGAATCATAGCTCAACTTCAGCAGAGACAGCGTGTGTAACTTCATCGTGTGTGATTCAAGTGCAGCTGAATCTGGTTGCTGAATGAGTCAAACATTGCATCAGGGTAATTTTTCTGCTGGAGGATCAGTATTTTCTGGCTGGTCGACACTACCCATGGAAGAAAGTTCCTGTCTGCTGATTCTGCAGTGGTTTGCATTGATTATGAAGAATAATTATAATTAGTCCCAACATACTCACTTGCAATTTAGACTGTGTCCATGTTGCCTAGACCTCCCAGCTCCCAAAGTTATGGTAGTTCCCTAACTTCTCTCTTCTTCCCAAATGCAATAATGTGATCACCTCAGGTTATAAATGCATCTTTTGTGGGTGTCAGGCCAATTTCTGCAGTAGCTCCCCTTCCTATTCCTGAGCTCTGAGCTCAGGTCACCGGCTGGTTTAGTGGTACATCACAGAGCCTGGGTGAACCTCTTAGATACCACTCAAGGAGTTTTTAGTCAAAAAACTCCTGGCTTTTGGACTCTCCACCCAAACACACTGTGTCTTGTCAAAACCCTAGCCCAGCTTGGCTTTACTCAGCCTGTGGAGGCGGTTGAAAACTCTGGTTCTTTTTTCCACTTAGAGTAGCCAGTCCCTAGACATAGTGTCCGTGTGCTTCCGCATGACCAAGCCTTCCTTCCCTGCCAGGCTCAGCTGATTTGCTTTTCAGCTGCTGAATTTATAGCTGAGTTTCTGTATTTGTACTTCTGTATTCCTATTTGGCCAAGTTGCATCTCAGAGTGTTTTGGAAAGAGGTGACCCATTTTATTGCAGGGGGGACTTAAACTGTTGCTTCCTGCATCGCTAGTGTCTGGATTAGACTTTGCATCCTTCTCTTTGCCTCACTTCCTATTTGTTGTGCCTCTTTTTAGAGGCCATGCCAAAATGAAAGCAAATTGGGTCAATGGGAATGACCTAGGTCAATGGGAATGTGACTCCAGGCTAGGAGAGCGGAGCCAAGGCAGGTGGCCAGGGCAGGGTTGGGGCTGGTTCAGTTTGAAGGGCCTCAAAGGCCAATTCCCTGCGAAGTGTAGGAGCAAAAGGGATCGGGAGTACAGGGGCAGCATTCACATATACATGAAAAATTCACATGTGCTTATAGAAAGAAAGATGTGAATTAGCAGTCACAATTAATTTGCTCAAAAGGTGGCTGATAATGTAGCAGAGGAAGTTAGTAGACCCTAGCAAGGTAGGGCCGGTGGTGTACAATGGATCACAAAGGTTGGAGATCAGCATTGGACCATGCTAAAGAGAGGGAACCAGAGGCTGGAAGGATGGGCAAGCTGGGAATATTGGTGGGAGAGAGGAGGGAAGAGATTTTCACCTGCCGGTCATCTGTTCTAGGTTTCGTGTCACACACATTGGGAAGAAGCCCGCTTTCCAAGAGCAGCAGGACGCTGCCCTGCCCGATGGCAGCAAGGAGCCCAGCACGGAGGAGCTAGAGCACAGCAGCGAGCGGCTCCAGCAGGAGAGCGCTCGCAATGGGACAGTCCCCGGGCACGGCCTGCAGAACGGGGCCGTCCAGAAGGGTGCACAGAGCGGCAAGGGCGCGGAGCAAAGTCACTCAAACGCCCCCAACACACCAGCCAACTCAGACACTCGCAGCAATAGACCTGATGGCAAGGGGCCTGGGAGGGCAGGCTCGCTGCAGGATGTTCACACTGCTCTTGGAAGCGCTAGTCACCAAAGGAAGCGTTTGGGCCACCAGGCTCTGGGGGGGTCAAGTGCCAGCACCCCAGGAGAGCCAGCGGAGGAAGGAGGGCAGAGAGCCAGCGTTTACCAGGAGGAGGCTGGACTGGGCTCAGCGGATGAAGTGTCAGATATTCACGGGAGTCTGAGCCTACAGGAAGCGTTACAAGCTGATGAGCTGGGAAGCAACTACACCAGCAGGAAGCAGCCCGGAGCAGAGGATGTGGGGCAGCAGGTAGGTTGCTACTCGTCCTTGTTCCGTGAGCGCTCTGGGTTGGAGGGGGTTGAAGGTTTATGGCACAGCTTCACCATGTCCTGGCACGATTAGTACTGCCAAGCTGAGCAACCAGCCCGAGCCCGGTGGCGTGACCACAGACAAGCAGAGCTTACGTTGGAGCTCATGTCTCTGGGTCTGCGGTGTCAGACCTGTTCTGTTTTGTCCAGCCTTTCTGTTCTGCCTTCCTCTCCTTTCTACTTCCTTTTATTCTCGATTGCATTTTCTCTTCCCCTTTTCTGATGTTTCAGGCAGTGTCTAAAGAGTGATTATATCCTTCTCGCTGCCTCCTCTGCAAGGCTGCTCAGGCTGGCAGAGGCCGTGGGCTCTTCCGCAGGGCTCCGGGCAGCAGGGAGGTGACAGCTCCTTCAGTAGTGGGTACCTAGGGCTGTGCAAAGCGCACATCTTGGGTAATTTGTCCTTTATTTTCTCCAGGAAAGCCCTTGTTTCGTGTGCACTCCCTGAGCCCCTCTCAGTAATGATCATACAGCTTCTCAGGGCACAAGATGTGTCCAAAGAGACATGGTTTCTCCTGGCAGCACCAGCCCTGTGGAGGGCGGGCACTGTCTCCAGGACGGTTCCCACCCTGACAGCATCCGTACTCCAGAAAGGAGCCTGATCACTGATGGGATTGGGAGGTGAAGCCCTGACCCAGGACAAACCCTGCTGCTCCCAGACCCTCCCTTTTCCCTTATGGACAACTCTTAAGCACGATGCTGTGTTGGGACAAAGCCACTGTGGCTTTCAGTGCTTGTGGTGAGATGAGACCTTGCCAAACGCCTGTCCTGTGCCAGCACAACCCACTCTAGGCCTTCAAAGTCAAACAGTCAAAGCTGTTTGAAAGACAGAAGACATTTTTCTGGCTTGGTCAGTGTGGAGGTGACCTTGCTTGGTGGAGGAGCCTCTTGCTTTTAGGCATGTTCATTGGGACCACTTTTCTTGCCCCTGTGGCTGGTGGTTCTCAGCCTCCACATGCAGCTTAGTGACCTCAGAGCTTTAGCTTTGCTGAAGTTCTGGGGCTTTTCATGTCCAGCAATGTGCAGGCAGAGAAAGGTGTCTCCAGGATCCTTAAAAGTCTAGGAAACTCTGAAAGCAACGTGGCTCTTTCCGAGTTGTTCTTCCACTGTCTGGAAGAGTCCAGTGCTGGCCATGCTCAGAGAGGAGAACAGTCCACTGCGGGCAGGGCTGGTGGGTTCCCAGCACACATGTACACCAGCACCCTGGTGCCACCATCCACCTGAAGCTGCTCTGGGCCTTCCCAACCGCCTGCCTTTCTGTGGGCGCTGCAGAGCACACAGCTCGCCTGGGCTTGGATGTCACAGCCCGCAGAGGACTTTGCTCCATGCAGTGCCTTCAGGAAGCAGCATCCTTTCTGCTTGGCCTCTGGTGTTTTGGATGGAGGTGGGTGAGCCCCGGCACGCAGAGCTGCTCCCTGCCCGTGCTGGCCGTACGGAGCAGCCCCGAGAGCCGCCTCCAGCAGCAGGGCTCACGCGGCACCTTGCTCAGAAGAAAAAGGAAGCAAATGGTCTGATTAAAAACCACAGCATGTTTCAGAGCCCCGGACTTCCCCAGGGCTGGCACTGTGCGGTCAGAGCCCCACAGGCCACGGCATGTGCCAGCACGGCACGGAGACGATACGGAGCGGGAGAGAGTCACGGTGGGAGCACGAGCTGGGGCGTGGGAGAGGTGACGGGAAAGGTCCCCATTTACACATAGGCTGAGGAGGAACCTGCTGCATTTGTCTTGTCTCCCTTGCTGGTGCCTGGGCTGAGGGTTTCGGACTCCTTTTGGTCAGAGGTTGCTGCCGTTTCTCAGGGGAGGACGTGTCCTGTGCCTGGGCGCCGGCAGCAGAGGAAGCTGATGCAGCTCTGCTCATGTCCGCGGGCTCTGCAGCCCTGCGCAGCTGTGGGGCAGAGGGTTTGGCTTGCAAGGGCTCAGCTGGAGGATGGGGATGTTGCAAAGCTCCAAACCCAAGGCTTGGTGGCACGCATAGGGCTGCGGCAGCCCGTGGTGCTGAGGAAGAGGAGAGAGGCAGGGCTGGGGGTCTGCGGAGCCTGGGCGGGAGTTTGGATGCCCCAGGACAGCCTGGGGGCTCCAGCTCTTCTCCAGAGCGGCAGCACAGGCTGCTCTCCCTGCTATGGGCCACCAAGCTCGGGCTGACAGCCATGGTCCCTCTCATGTGCAGGACAAGCCTGGGGATGTGGAGGGTTTTTCCACCCTTCGTCTGTCCCCTGTGTGGTGTCAGGACAGTGCTGGGCTCTCGTATCACACCCTGTGCTCGGGTTTCCTTTGGAGCGGAGCTGGGGATGGCCAGGAGGCGCTAGGAACAACTGTGGGCTCCAGTGGGGGAGCACAGAGCCCAAGGGACACCGAAGTGCTTGATCCTGGCTCCTGAGGGGAGCTGGGGCTGCTCCACCAGCCCTCGCACAGCCTTGCCCATAGCTCTGTGGTGTCCTCGTGGTGATGGGGCCTGGTTGAGAAGGTTGCCACCGAGCCCTGGAGCTGCTCGGCATCTCCCTAGCCCCTTCTGTGCAAGCCAGGCCCATGAGCTGCTGCCCGGTGGGTCCTGCAGTGCCCAGGACAGCTTGGAAGGGCAGAGCGATGGCAGCTCTGTTGGGCCCCGGGACCTTGGCCAGGTCTCGTAGGCGAAGAGCCCCCAGCCTGGGCAGCAGCGTCCCGCTCCGTGACTCACCCTGCTCCCGCGGCAGAGCGGCGCGGTGCCTGAAGCGCTCGTCTCTCCTTCCCCAGCAGGAGCCGAGCGCCATGGTGCGGGACCCGGGACTGACCGTGTGATGTAAGTGCTTCCCCGCGTCCCCTGGGCCACGCTGTCCCTGGAGAGCGTGGGATTCAACTGCAGAAAGCTGCAGGCTTGTGGGTGGGTTGTGGTCCTCTGTGCTCCTAGCAAGGAAACGGGGTCCTCCAGGTCCTGCAAGAGGCAGGATCTCCAGCTCTTGGAGGATGGAGAGTCCCTTGCCCACATCCCAGTCCTGAGCTGGACACAGCCAAGATCAGAATCCCTTTGGAGGCCACTGTTGCCATGGGGGGCCCGGGAGCAAGCAAAGAGGGGGCAGAAGTGGCTTGGGAAAAGCCTGGCTGGTCCCTCAGAGGGTGTCAGGGCAGGTGAGAACAAGGGCCCCTTTCAGCCCCTCTTTCTCCCGCAGCTCCTCTCCGCTC